TCATTTACAAGGGGGTAAAACATTTTGTTGAGTTCTTTATAAATCTATATAGCTGTGTATTGTTATATCTCCAAACTATTATTTTAATTAAGGCACTATGGTACAGTCCAACCAAACCTTCACCCATCTTATAATCAATACTTATTTTGAAGTTCTTGGCTCAGGACTCATACTGACCCTAAAGTACAGAGCAGAACTGCCTTTTGGGGTTTCTGAGATGACAAATCTTTATGGAAGTAGATAGCCTCATCTTCCTCCCTCAGAGCAGCTGGTGGGTTCAAACCTCTGACCTTGCAGTTAACAACTCAAGAGGGCCACTGTGAGTCAGAATGGCCTCTATGGCAGTGCATGTTTTTAAAGTTGTCTCGGGAATTGTTTTTTAATTGCATACTTGTACAGGGCCCTAGTGGCACAGCAGCTAAGGCACTTAGCTGTGATACAGAAAAAGTGGCAGATTTGAACCCAGCAGGCACACTGAAAGGGAAAGATGTGGTATCTACATCTGTAAAGATTACAGTAGATTAAGGTAGCTCTAATTTGTCATATAGGGTCCCTAAGAGTCAGAATGGACTGAGCAGTGGTGGGTTTGGGGTTCTGACATACTGGTAAGCCTACATGCATTTTTTTTAACTTAAGGTAATACTAATAATAAACTCTACCGTATGTAGATTTTGAATAGCAAAAGAGACCCTGCCAGCACAGATCATCCTTTGTCTTTGAACTGAGATTTGTGAGCACACCAGGGCAAGGGGGGGGAGGGGGCAAAAAAAAAGGAAAAAAAAGAATTGAGATTTGTGTTTGAGGTTGAACATGCTTTGTATGACCTTGTGCTAATTAAACATTAGGTTATATGTGAGAAGCAGCTTTGTAAACCACCAAGTCCATTGAAAATCTAATATTAGTTTTTTTGAAAAGTGCTCTGGCCTCACCTTGTATATGACAAGTAGTCTTTAGACTCGACCTGAAGGAAAGGAATCTAGGTCTCTCTGTCTCTCTCTCTTGGCCTCCCTCCCCCCCCCCTCTCTCTCTCTCTGGCAGAGTGAAGTTAATGATTTATGGTATGGATTTGTTTTTCCTTCACATGCAACAATAAAAATGTTCAGCCTGATAAAACAATGGTGTTGTGGTCTTGTATGAGCAATTCTATGCAGGGACATAGATCTTTGTCTTTGGAAATGGAACATAAGTCCCCAGACAACCATTCACTGGGACTTTGTTCATAATATGAATGAAGCACATTGCCAGAAAGTCATGTCAGAAAATCAATACTATTTGCACTGGATGTGCTTTGGCAAAATGCTCAGGAAACCATGGACTCGTCTGCATTCTGGATTATCTAGGGGAGATATTTAAAACCTGACAACTTTTTCCTGTCACACAGTTAACTTCTGGCTTTCCTGACACCAACTGTCAATCATTTAAAGAATGGTTTCAGCTGCCACGCTACCACCCACTACCATTGAGTCGATTCTGAGCCACAGCAACCCTGTAAGACCAAATAGATTGGCGCCTTAGTGTTTCCAAGACTATAAATCTTTCCCAGAGCAGATAGCTGCATCTTCCTCCTGCAGAGTGGCTCATGGGTTTGAACCACCAACCTGGTGGTTAGGAACCCAATGTTTAATCCACAGTGCTACCAGGGCACCTTTCAGCAGCAGTATAGATAATATGTCATTACTGGGTTGGCTCTGCTCTAAAAATTAATGGAAGTCGTTTCTTTTCAGGACCATATAGAAATGGTATCCATTATTCATGCCACTGTAGTCTATTACTTATGTGCGCAATTAAGATCTTTGTGGCTTGTTTCTGTACATTTGTTTTGCTAAGCAAACCCTAGACTATGAAAGTTTCCAATTTTCCAATACTAAAAGTCATAACTTTGTTGTTCTGCATTGCAGGTAGTTTTCATGAGCCTGTGTAAGAGTTTTTGGGACTGTGGGCTTGTAGCCCTGGATGACATTACGATACAACTTGGAAGCTGCTCATCTCCAGGTATGACGTCATCATCCCATCCCTCCCTGCCTCCCTGATATGCGCTCCTTCTGCTCCCTTAATCCGTTCTGATCCATCTTTTGTGCTTTTTGTTCTCCAAATGTGTATCTCTGCAGAACGAAATAATAGGCTTGTCAATTTAGAAATGATTACTCTAGTGCAGTGTGTGGCTTTGTAAACGTGGTAAGCTCTGTATCGTTATCTATAACTGAGATAGTAGCACTTCCTGACTGTAGGAAACATTGCATGGAAATCCCCGACAGAAAGCTGCTTTAAAAGCAGATACTTTCTATTTGAATTACTAGTGTTATTATTGTTGTTATCTTGCATGAATGCAGATTTCAAACATTATTAATGAATTTCTGACAACATTACATATTACGCTGCTAACTGCAAGGTCAGCAGTTCGAAACCACCAGCCACTCCAAGGGTGAAAGACCAGGCTTTCTACTCCTGTAAAAAGTTAGTCTTGGAAACCCAGAGAGGCAGTTCTATCCTGTCCCATCGGGTGTCACTCTGAGTCAGAATCGACCCGATGGCAGTGAGTTTAAGGTGGGTTTTTTTCATGCTACGTGTAAACTTCTGAAATTATCATAAGATAAAAGTTTTCTAAATGTATCAAATGAGAGCGGAACAATGAGCCGAGTAGGTAAGACAGTGACAAAATGAAGGTGGTGGCAGCTGGCTACATACTGGGCATTATGTCTAAAAGACCAGGGAACATCATTCCACCCAGATCATTGGTCTACACCGACTGACCAATGCACCCTACGTCATGGGGTGTCGGATCACTCTTTAACAGGCGATGTGTGATATTGATGTGGCACTGCAGAATAATCCCTGCATTTACTGATTTTAGACAGAGCTCTGGTGGCACAGTGGTTACAGCATTTGGCTGCTAACCAGAAGTGTGGCAGTTCAAGCCCATCATGTGATCCACAGGAGAAAGCTGTGACCGTTCGCTTCCATAAAGATGGATAGTCTAGGAGACCCTATGAGATGGGTCTACTCTGTCCTAGGGGGTCACCATGAGCCAGAATTAATTCAATGGAAAAGGGGTGCTTTTGTTTTAAATTATTTAAATATCATGTATTTTTTTGCACCTCCCTTTGCTAAGCAATGCAAGAACAACAGCAAAGAATAAGATAAAACTCTGTACACTCGAGGTGTAGATCAGGGAATGAGGCTTCACTGCTTGTGTAAAAAAAAAAAAATGAGCAAAGTTATTATCGTGAGGAGATATAAAAGAGACATGTTTACTAGAGAAATTTGCTAGGAATTTAGATGGAGGGAGATACAGTCAAATTCTGCAAAAGAAAGAGTCCCCAATACGTTAGGAGATGTCCGCATTCTAATAATAACAACTGTTAAAGTAATCCCAGATGGTATACAAAGACATAAATCTCTGCCCTTGAAAATAGAAAATGATGATGCTGTGTTTTATGTTTTTCTGTTTCAATATATGAAACCCAGGATCGATGAACCTATAGGGACAGCAAGTAGATTAAGGATTTGGGTGAGGGGTGGGCAGGGTAGGTACAGTGGTGATGGGAGCAGTTAAAGGGAGATGATGTCAAGGAGTCCAGGAAGGAAAAAAAAAAATGTTTGGAAACTGATTGTGGTAGCACTTGTACAATTCTGCTTGATGTAATTGAACAAAGGAATAATATGATATATGTATTAACTCCCAATTAATAATACATTTTTAAAAACGAAAAATACCCCAAGATGAGAAAAATACCCCATTCACACACTCATGTGGCAGATAAGAATACTGAGGCACATCACATTGACAGGAGCAACTCAAAAGATTCGATAAGAGCAGGAGAGGGCAGTCAGTTTGCATCATGGAGGGAGGAACAATTCCGCAAAGGAGGGTGAGGATGTTGCCCAGCTCGAAAAGTGTAATCATCACCAAATGAAACAGGTTGGGGAGTGTTTTGCAATGTACATTCTCACCAAAAACAAATACAATTTAAGGGGAAAAGAAAGGGTATGGTGCCCAGAGAAATGAAACCATTTGCTTCCCATGGCGGTGCCTTCCGAAGCCCATCGGAAGTTCCCTCCCATCCTCCCCTTCCTCCAAAGCAACCATATAATTGTCATGAGGATTTCCTTCACTTCCCTGGGATGTTTTAGAAAGTTCCTTCCCTGTGGAACTCTCTGGGTTTCCAGGTGTCCATAAAGGCAATGTGTCTCCGATTTTCAGATCTTCATCAGCTCCATCACTCAAATAAACTCACGAGTCAGAGAAAGTTTCTTTGGCAGACAAAGCCTCCCAGGTTTTCTGGATGTGACTTTGCGATGGTTCCCTGCCCCTGTGGCAGGATGCAGAGCTGCTGTCGGTGGGCTGTCTGCTGGCGGGAGGGGGGCTGCTTCTCCATCTGCAGAGCATATGGCCAGGCGGCATTCACACACGCAGAGCAGCTCCCAGGAGCCACGGAATCCATAGTCATTGAAAATGTCTCAGCAATCGCAACACCTGCTGTTTCCTTGCAGAAGGGCTTCCAGCTCCACCTGGAGAGTGTACGTTTGAACAAGATGAATGTGCCTTTACCCAGGAGAGAAGAAACCGGAGCAGCTGGCACCGGAAAAGGGGAGAGACTCCCACCTCCTACACGGGACCCAAGGGAGATCACACGACTGGGGTAGGTGAGTTATGCCCCCTGGTCCTGTTTCCTATGGCAATTTCCAAAAATACCATAGGAGGGGTCACTCGCTGCATTTTTGAAATGTCCCGCTTTAACCTTGGTGCCTGGAATGGACTACATGTGTAATTCTACTCACGTGGATCATCTAGGAGGGAGTTTCGTGGGAGACACGCCTCCCATTCATCATGATTGTGTTGTTAGGGCCTGTGGAGCATGTCTGGACTCAGCGACCCTCTGCACAACAGAACGAAGCACTGCCCGTGCCTGCGCCATCCTCACAAGTGTTCCCTGCCTGAGCCCATGATGCCCGTCACTGTCCCAATGCATCTCATTGAGGGCCTGCCTCTCTTTGGCTGTCCTTCACCAAACATGATGCCCTTCACCAGGGACTGATGTTGCACTTGTTTCTGGCTGCAAAGGTTGTCTGAAAGGGACTGCAGAGATGATTCATATGTTAGACAGGATTCTCTAGAGAAACAAAACCAGAACACGAATAATTTATATGTATTTCTATAGATAGAGAGATAACATAAGAAATAAACAGTTAATTATATTATAAAGCAGTACAAATGGCCCAGTGCAACTCACTCCCATGAGACAGTTGTGAGACACTGGCAGTCCTTCAAGTCTTGAGG